TCATAATTCCTTTTACAGTAACAAAATGTGCAAAATTACAGTGGTTCCAAGTCAGAATTTTACATCACATTTTGGCAACAAACACCTTTCTGTTTAAAATTAACTTAACCCCTAGTCTTTTATGTACTTTGTGTAATATAGAACATGAAACAATAACTCATTGTCATTGGGAATGTCGAGAAGTGCAGAAATTACTGCAGAGATTTGAAACTCTGCTGGATCTATTTTTTATCCCGTTTTCATTTAATAAGGAATCCTTCCTTTTTGGAATAGTTTCACACCTTTCTAGCTTTGTTGATAATGCAATTTTAATTCTTATTAAGCATTATATATACAAGACTAGATGTCTCTGCAAATCTTTAAATCTCAATGCACTAATTAATGTTATTAAAGATCATTTCATTGTCCAAAACTATATTAATAACGGTAAAAGTGAGCATGTCAAAATGAAATTTGAAACAGGTTGGAGAAAATGGAAACCTATTATAGATATATAGCTGTTTTGTTAATTTATTTTTCCTGTGTTTTAATTTATTTTTTGTATACAGTATATATCCAAGGCCTCAGCAGTTTCTGATTAAGTCACTGGCTACTTAAGTATATACAATTTTTACATGTAAGATTGCCTCCCCTCTCTCTCTCTTCTCTCTCTNATGTACACATTGTGATATGTGTGTGTGTGTTGGTGAACAGTGATACATATACTATGCTAGGCTTGGAAGTTTGAACTATTCTTCTTAGCGCATATCATCTAGGGGTAGAAGAATGAGGAAATGTTTTAATAAATAAATATGCAGAATATGATGGTTGTATAATTAAGTTATCTCGTGCTAGCATATATGCTCTGTAAGTTTGTGTGTGTGTGTGTGTGTGTGTGTGTGTGTGTGTGTGTGTGTTTCTTTTCATGATTATATGTATTATGAAAAAATCGTCGAAAAATTAACAATTACACAAAAAAAAATTATACTATGCCTCTTAGAACTTGGTGTTTGTGTAAAAGTTTGGTGTTAAAATACTGTGGAGATATCAATCTAACAATTTCTGTGTCAAGTTTTTATAAGAGCGCAGCTCTTCTTGCGCCGAAGGCGCAAGAAGCAAAGCTCTTTTCCGGTAACATGTGTACGAACAATTGAAGTCATGGTAACGTCGAAATACTATGCTTCCAAAATCCTTCGTCACGGAAGAAGCTAGTATAGAGTTACCGCGGTCCTATTTTTACGATGCTGTTTAGCTTTGCTACACATTCTCAAAAATATCTCTTTATTTGATATTTTTTTTCTGTGGTTATGTAAATTCATGACATTAAAAATTATAGAAACTGAAGCTTCTTTCAAATTTTCAGTCTTTTCTTCTCTCCACCCAAACCGGAAGTAAATAGTAACTACCAAACCACACGGAAATCCGGATATGTTTGGGCTATTGTGATTCGCTTTTTACACGATTTAGAGAGATCAGGCAAAGTATATCATGTCGGAAAATAAAATTGGAATTTAATCACCAATATACTTAACTTTTATAATAACAGATAATAACAGTTACATTTGATAAACAATACATCTTCAAATATGAAGTCCCTCTACTGGGCCTCACTCTTTCCGCAACATTACGCTGAGGCCATAGACGGGGCAATGAAATGCAACAGTACCAAATGCAGTTGTGTTTTCTCTTGAACTGCATAATTCATTCTAATGCTTTTCTTAACTTATTATTAATTTTTCACTATAATATTTATCGCTATAAAACGAATAAATAGATACTACTTTAAACAGAGTTATTTAGAAAATAAAATTGAAAAAAACAGCATTTAGACGCTTCTCTCGTTTCAGGCAATGCCTGTTTTCAAAATGAATGATTT